ACCCACTAGGTTTGAACAAGATCCCCCTGATTCACATTCTCATTCATCTTATTAGTTGTTCCCTCCACACCCCCCTCCACCCCTTTGAAAAACATTCCACCGGCCCTGGAATGAAGGACTGGAACTCTGAAGATAAGGCGGCCTAATATAACATAATAATAAAATATTAATAATGTTCCATGCACATTATTATTAAAAGCAGTTTTAAATTGATGATGATTTGAAGTTTGAAAAGCATTGGCGTTTAAAACGTCATCTACATATTTGAGATTCATTTGGGTCAAAAAGGTATAGCCTTAGGGCCTATATTTTTTGGAAAATAACCCCATCCTAGATTTTTTAGGTTTCTGGTTGATCGGACTTAATGGGCAAAATAAAATTACCTGGTGATAATCAGATGATGAAGAAATTATTTATTTTAACTTAATTAATTTGTTATACAAACCATTTTTATTTCTGATTTACTGTATTAGAAAGTTTATGTTTGAGTTTTGGTGATTTTGTTTTGTATGTATTAATTTTAAATGGAATAAAGATCAGTGTGTTCTAAAGGTTCTTTTAGATAATCCAGAGTCCAGTGTAAAATTAAGATGTTACTCACTATTTAGTTCTTGGTTTCTAAAAGAACCTTTAGAACACACTTATCGATCGGATCAAATGAATCTATTCAATAATTTGGAACAAAGGTCACTCCCGGATTGGCAGGGCTATTTCGATCGGTATTTCGCTTTTATTGAGGCATTATTTTCATATTGATAGGCCTACTTTGATGAGGGCGCGCGTGTGTGGATGGGGCCAGAGCCATAGATAGGAAGAGTTGCGACATTGAGAATTTAGAAGCCATTTTGTGTCATACGCGATGCGCGTTCTGTGTCTAACGTGATGTGCGTTCCTGTGTATAATATTGTATACTACAGTTAGCGGCCTCCTGTATAGTTTAATTTCATTTAATCTTTTTAGCAGTCGAATTTCATGAAACTATTTATATGGTTTTTTTTTAGGATTTTACTAAATTATATCCAATTTCATATTATGGTATAAAAATAATACTGTAATAATTTACTATTTTTAAGCAGTTCTTTAATCCTCACCGATAGACCGAGAGAGCCCCTCGATGGCAAGCATTCTTTAATTAGGCAATCCTTAAGTAGCTTCTATTATTTTTGCAAATAAATGATATGTGACGACCAGCAAAAATTAATTAAATACGTATATCAAAATGTAATTTAAATCC